AAAAAATCCAAACTTTATCAAAATCTGCTCAAATTTTCTACATGACATAAAAACATGTATATGCATCAGAAAAAATTATAAAAATGGAAAATCCTCACCAAATGATTTTTGGCAAAAATTGGTCAACAACCCTGTACTATAGTACAGTGACTTTGGCCCAACTTTGGAGCAATTTTAAAAATTCATAAAAAATCCAATATTTATCAAAATCTGCTCAAATTTTCTACACAATATAAAAACATGTGTGTGTATCAGAGAAAATTATAAAAATAGAGAATTCTCTCCTTGTGACTTTTGCTAAAATATCCTGTCCTCTTCCCAATTTTTGAGCAACTTAACAACACAATTCATGTTATAAAATCCACAAAATATAGTACATGATTTACTATAACTTACTAAGGAGCCCGTTATAGTCCACATCATTGTCTAGTGCTACATCCCACAAGCACCTTCTCTCAGTGTGTATGTCAGTTATTGTCAGGTTCAGTTCAGTTGAGTGAGCTCTGTCATTAGGGAGGGCATTGATCAGTCTTGTAGTCACCAGATCATTTGGAGTATCATCACAACGAAGAGAGAAAGTCACATTACTAAGATCAGACAGGCAATAGCCCCTGATCTAATAATAATAATAATAATAGAAAAAAATAACAGCAATCAATAACACAATGCATCAAAAAACAAACTATTAGGTATATCTTGAGTACATGCATAATGTATAGAGTAGATTATGTACTCTGACAATGTATGTACATTATTACCTCATTATTATATTATTATTATTACATACAGTATTACATTATATCCATAATGCCAAGAGTACATTATGCACTTCTATATAATTACCTCAATCCTAATATCTAATATAAGTGCACCAGCACTGGTATACATCAGTGAAGTATTAGCAGTTCTTGTCTCAAAATGTCCTAAAAATAAAAGCACCAATATATAATATATAGGGGAGTTGTTTATCATATGAGAGGCATTATAATTTTCTTTTATCTGATTACATGCAAACATGTGTATGTGTTGTGAGTAATTATGCAAATATGCAAAAATTTCCCAAATACTATAATTATCACTATAAACTAAAGATTAGAATCAGGTAACATCACTCTTTACAAATGTCAAGGGATTGGTCCAGGGAAGTTCCCCATTATGTCATAATTATCATTATGTAAAGTCATGAAGGTGTCCATACACTATTGTTTTCATACTTTTTTCAATCAAAATTAATAATCAAAGCTACACATCAATGCAAAACCCCCTAGTTAATCTAATTTGGGTCCCTCCAACTTTTTTACTCTACTCCTTCCCAACTCTCTCTCTCTCTCTCTCTCTCTCTCTCTCTCCCTTACCTCCTAGTGACCATCTTTGTTTAAATTCAGCTCCATCTCCTACAACATTAGTTGCAACGATACTCACCAGCAGTACATCACAGAGCCTATCCTCGGAAATAGAGAATTCAATGCTGGGAGATGTGACATTATCATCAACAATACTCTCCGATGATAAGAAATGAGTGATATTTATGTAGTAGGAGTCGCAGCATGGTGGCAAGCCACGGCGATGAGTAGGGGGAGTCCATTCAAAGAGGATCATAGTGCTAGAGGTATTGTCTCCGTTAAATTGAGTGATGACATCTGGCACACCTGAGAAGAGGGAAAAACAAAGAGGAGAAAAGGAAGGAGAAAGAGAAAAAGACATACGGTAACTTAATAATGCAAAAAATCCCTCATTTGTGTTCGTGCATGCGTTAAATGATTATATACATAGTGTGTACCTTGAACCCTGAGGACAGCAACACCACTTTTCTTAAATCTAATTTTTTCAATGACATCGTTATAAAATATTCCAGTACAGAATATCGGTGCCATATCAAAGGAAGAGCTAGCCAGTACTGTCAGATTCGAGTTCTTTGCAGTTTCATTGATGTTGCTTATAGCATACCAAAGCCCCATCTTTGGCCTGCTGTTAGCCAACTGCACCATTTTTATGGTCCATGGAATCAGAGTCACATTGTCCAGAGAGCACTGAAACACTACCTCCCTGCCCAGAAACTGTGAACGATCCTCTGGGACTTGCAGGAAGTTGGGCTCTCGTAACTCTGTGCATAAGCAGAAAGAAAAAGGAAGAAAGGAAAAGAGAGGGATAGTGAGTAAGGGCTCATTCAAAATGATTAAAACTTGTTCTCACCTACTGCCAACGTTACAGACAGTACTAACCCTAACAGCACCAAAGAGACAGCATGTAACTGTATCTTCATAATTGCAAAATAATACGAAGGAGTCACACCACACAGAAAGAAAGCAGCTAAACAAACCTCGAAAATGATGAACGAGGCCAGCCACACATGAACACAACTTATGAACTTAATAAACTAGATCTAGCTCTAGACTAAATTATAAAATACCACGTAACCACACCACTTCCTCTTTCCTCTTTTAAAATTAGTACCTCTGGAATTTAACATAGTTATTTTTCCAAATATTCTCAAAGCAATGGAGGCACGAGCAGACTCTCTTATCATTTCTTCTTTTCTTCTCTTGATTGCAATACAAGCTTGTCAGTGCTGTGAGTAACAATTTTTATACTTGCATAATGTTCTCTCAGTCTCATATATTGAGGAAGGTCCACAATCAGTCAATGCTACTGTTAACAGCACTGTAGTATTCACTTGCAGTGGTACAGGCTCATACCCGATTGTGTGGAGGATCAATAACAATTTAATCAATCATCATTTGGATGACAATTACCATACGAGTGGCACTCAACTTAGAGTAAACAATGTAACTGCAGACCTGAATAATTCAATGGTTTATTGTTCTCGTGGTAATGATATTTCAGCTTTAAATACTTCAGAACCAGCTTTGATCCT